TGTGCTGTAGGTAGACCCACAATGCTGTTAGGGAAGGATTTCCAGGATTTTGACCCAAAGATACTAAAGCAATGGCAATATATTTCCAAGTCAGAATTGCAAGTGGCTTGGAGGGGAACTTGCAGTTGGTGATGTATCTCACATGTATCTGTTGCCCTTGCTCTTCTAGACAGAAGTGGTCCCTGTTTTGGACGGTGCTGTCTCAGAAGCCTTTGTAAATTTCTGCAGTGTATCTTATAGACAGTACATAATGCTACTTCTCAGCATCGATGGTGGAGGGAATCAATGTTTGTCGATATGGTGCCAATTGAGTGGTATGCTTTGCCTTGGATGGTGTCAATTTTATTGAGTGTTGTTGGAGCTGTGTTCAACCAGACAAGCAGGCAGTGTTCCATTACACTCCTGACTTGAGTCTTGTAGATGGTGGACAGGCTTGACAGGCTTTGGGGAGTCAGGAGATGAGTTACTTGCTGCAGAATTTCCAGCTTCTGACCTGGTGTAGCCACAGTATTTATATCATAGAATCCCTACAGTGTGGAAACAGGCCATTCGGCCTAACCAGTCCACACCAACTCTCCAAACAGCATCCCACCCAGACTCATCCCCCTGTCCTATTCCTGTGACCCTGCATTTCCCATGGCAAACCCACCTAACCTGCACATCTTTGGACTTTGGGAGGAAACTACAGCACCCGGAGGAAACTGACGCAGACATGGGGAGAATGTGCAAACTCCACACAGACAGTCACCCAAGGTGGGAATTGAACCTGGGTCCCTGGCGCGGTGAGGCAGCAGTGCTAACCACCAAGCCACTGTGCCACCCATGGTGGCTACTTCAGTTCAGGTTCTGGTCAAGGGTAACCCCCAGGTTGTCAATAGTGTGGGATTCTGGAATTGTCATTGATTGTTAAGGGCTGATGGTTAGCTTCTCTCTTTTTGGAGGTGATCATTGCCTGGAAATTGTGTGGCTCGAATGTTACTTGATCTTTGCCAGCTCAAACCTGGATGTTGTACAGATCTAGCTGCATTTTGACACAGGTTGGCTCAGTAGCTGAGCTGGAAATAGAGCTGTACATTGTGTAGTAATCAAACATTCCCACTTCTAATCTTATGATGAGGGAAGCTTTGTACTGTCTCTGGCACTTTCTCTTTAATGTAATATGGAGACCAAAACTGAGGATGATATTTTCCAAGTGCAAACTCATCAAATTTCTTTGTAAATTCAACGTAACTTCTTTGTCTTGAAACAAAAATTGTGCTGTGTTGTGGAGCAAGTACCTTTTCAAATTAGAAAATACAGGACTTGATTGCATTTTACTAAAACATTATTACTCTCAGTGTAAAACAGATTGCTTAAATATGAAGGGAAGAATTTTCACTTGAGGAATGGACAGAAGCAATACAAACTGAATGGTATATTCTTAAAAGGAGTGCAGGACACGGATTCTACACAAACCTTTGAAAATGTCAGGACAAGCTGAGAAGTCTGTTAAAAATGGGTCAGGTTGATTAAGATGGCATTACAATTATACCATGTAAACATCTCTTAAGTTAATGGATGCACCATGCTGGTCAACTTTTTGCCAATTGCTGTATTTTGCATTGCATTAATGTTCTGCAGTTAAACCTTTTTTTAAAATTCATTGATGGGATATAAGTGCCACTGGCTATGCAAATATATGTTTCCTCAACTTTAATTGCTCTTGAGAAAGTGATAGTGAGTTTCCTTCCCAGGCTGCAGCTGTCCACGTGCTGCAGGTAAACCCACAAAACCATTAGAGAGGGAGTTCCAGAATTTTAACCCAGTGACACTGAAGGAATGGCAATATATTTCCAAGTCAGGATGGTGTGTGGAGCTTAGAGGAGACCTTGCAGGTGGTGGTGTTGGAAATGAAATATATCGACTTCAGGGCACAAAGCTGGCAAAAGTTATGAAGACCATGGGCTGTCCAAAGGCAAGTGCGCCCCCTTAATCACTCCATGAGAATCTAAAGAATTTGATAACACTGTATATCACTGGCTTGGTTGCAAGAGATGCTGTAAAGATGACTTATAAAATACCAGTCTGCTTTTGGGCTCCACTTCAAACTTATTGTCAGAAGTTGGTCCTTTGAATTCTCCAAAGGCCCATGAGAGTTGGTGTGTGTCCACATCAATGGGTAAGTACACTGCATGTCTGGAGGCCAAACTTCCTCCATGTTCCTCTGAAGTTTAGCCTGCAGCTATGAGGGAGCCAGTTTCAGTATATCACAAGGAGGCATAGCTGAGAACTCACTAATGGAGAGGCTGTGTACAGATTGGGATCGACTTCCACATTTGCCTCTCTTTCCTTCTATTGTTCCCAGCAAATGGTGTGAGCTGAAAATGAACAGCAAACTAGCACAAAAAGGCAGAAATCACATTAATTCCTGGCACTCACATACAAAATCGATCACATTGAATCATTGGACACACGTACCTGGTAAAATTTTCTCTGCAAAAAGCCATTACTTTTAAAAAAAACACCTTAGGAAAAATTTGTAGACCTCAATACTTTATGTAGTAATAATACAGGAGTATCCAGACAGAGGAGAGAGATGCAGTTATTTATAGTGGAGGATGGTGGGATCTTACTGCTGATTGGTTAGACCGTAGCATTTGCAATAAGTCAATATGTGTCAACATTCTTGATGCTGATTGGTCAACTGTACAGAATTACGCATAGTAATATGCTTCCTGAGTAATGGTAGTCAGATGTCATTAATGAGTCATAGATGTCTAGAGCATAACGGCCCTTTGGCACATCAAGTCAGCATTGGCCAAAAAGAACCACCTGAATATTTTAATTCCATTTTCCAGCACTTGGTCTATAGCCTTGTGTACCTTGACAGAGCAGGTGCACATTTAAATAGTTGGAATAAAACAGCTCAGGAACAGACCCTTCAGCCCTCCAATGTTATTCAATTGCATACGAGTTTCTGCCTCTACAACCCTTATGGCCAGTGAATTCCAGATTCCATTCACTTTCTGGGGGTGAGAAGGTTTCTCGTCACATTTCCTTGAAACATCATGTCCCCTACCTTAAATCTATGCCCCTGGTCTTTGATCCCTCCACCAAAGGGAGATGTTCTTTCCTATCTGCCTATCTACGACCTCCATAATTTCATATATCTCAATCATGTCCTCCCTCAGTCTTCTTTGCTGATAGGAAAACAACCCCACTCTATCCGATCTCTCTTCATAATTGAAACACATCAGCCTAGGCAACATTTTGGTAAACCTCTTCTGTACTCTCTCCAGTGTTATCACATCTCTCCTATAATGTGGCCTAAACAACATTTTATGCAGTTCCAGCATCATGTCCGTGTTCTTAAACTCTATGTCTCAGCCAATAAAGGCAAGTACACTATCTGCTTTCTTAACCACTTAATCTACCTGAGAAGTACAATGTTATGGGAAGGTCCGGTATCGGGAGATCTCTGTTGCCTTCCTGATGCAACTCATGCGCTGACACACTCCCTCTTACACCTATTCCAGTTGGTCCCCCACAACCATAGAAAAGTGATTCCACACAAAGCCATCGAGGCTTACCAGTTTTTCTAAAGATGACAATTGTTCCTTTCTGAGCAGATTTTACATGGTAGGATAATGGTGAAATCATTAAAACAATATTTAAAGCATAGTGAATTCCTGATTTTATAAATAATGGAATTGGGTCCAAAAGCTGAGAAACTATTGCTAATTCTTTATGTAACACTGGCTCAGCCTCAACTGAAGTGTTGTGTCTAATTCTAGGTATTATCACACTTTAGAGAAATGTGTAGGTCTTAGAAAGTGTGAATGGAGATTTTCTAGAACAGTCCCATGGATGAAGGGCTTCAGTTAGTAGAGTGATCTGAGAAGTTGGGATTTTCACCTTAGAGCAAAAAAGCTGAAGAGGAGAGTTAACTGAGGTGCTCAAAATTATGAAAGATTTCAATCAAGTAAACGTGGAGAAAGTGGATCAGTAATCAGAGGAGGCAGATGTCTAGAACCAAAGCATTGAGGAGGAGAACTACTTATACACAGTGAATTTCTAAGATCTGGGACACTGGGCCTGAAAGGATATTGAAAGCAAATTCAATAATAACTTTAAGAAGGGAATTGGATCTATAATTGAAGGGGGAATGTTTGCATGGCTATGGGAAAAGTGTGAACCGGGGGATCAATCCAATAGCAATTTAAAAGACGTTGCACAGAAACAATAATTGAATGGTCTCCTCCTGTGATGTATCCTTCTCAGGCGGAGCATTCTTTTCTTTTACATGCAAAAATTAATATCAGAACCCAGTTGGTGTAAACCGTTCTGTGATAAGAGAACGTTGAGATAAGGCCAAGCGATGGATTTGCAAATCTGCAAATGATTGCCAGCAAAAGGATATAGCTGAGGCAGAGCTCTCAATGGATTAGAAAGAAGGGCTAGTGTTCTCAGACAGCATTAGTTCACAAACTGTGATCTGTTAATTCCCAGTTTAATATAGTCACCTTTTCCTACCAGCTGTAAAAAGGGAATCCGTTGGAAGACTGGAAAGGATGAATGAGTGAAAGCCATTCTATTATCAAATTGCCAGCTTACAGATCATGTGCCATCTACCTGATAAGATGTGACTCCATTTATTAAACCTCCTGACAAAAGCATCTGCAGGAGTGTCTGCTGATCCATAATGATCTAGTTGCATCACATTATCAAAGCTGACCACTGACGATCTTGACAAATGCTATATTTCCAGGCAATGAGTTCTCTGAAGGAAGCCAATATGGCCAGCTACAACAACAGTAGTAGGTTCATGCCAGGACTTTCACAGACTTCACTTGGTCAAATTGAGTAGTGATCATGGGTCAATATTAAAGAAAATCTCAAGGTGACTGTTGGCATCCTGTGAAAAAGGTGTGCCGCATCTCACAACAGCAACTCAGAAACATGTCTCTAAATCAGAAAATAAAGAACCAGGGTATCATATTGTAAAAAGAAAAGGAACTTACTGGGACCAGGAATTTCTTCACCTCCTCTAGTGCGTGGCTCATGCGGGAATAGGCTTCTCCTGCTGGGACAAAGACTTCGATGAGCACATGAAGGTCATCACCTAAATGTGCATACTTGGCCTCTCCGCTTTTCCGCAGTTCTTCTTCCTGCACAAAAAAGAAGTGCAAACATTTAGGATAGTTTCTGAAACAGACAGCAATAACATCTCATTCAGGTGGCCTGCTGAAACCCCAACCAAAGATGATTCAAATTCTTGAAAGTAGTCATTGCAACGCAGGTATAGTGGCAGCAAATTTGGGCACAGCAAGCTCCCAAAAACAGCAATGTGAGTGTGACCAGATCATTTGTTTCAACGAATTGGCTTAGCTACAGAGAAATAACCCTGTTCTTAGAGTCATACAGCACAGAAACAGGCCCTTCGGTCCAACAACTCCATGCTGAACATAATTCCAAACTAAACTAGTCCCACCTGCCTGCTCCTGTCCCATATCCCTCCAAACCTTTCCTATTCATGTACTTATCCAAATGTCTTTTAAACATTGTAATTGTACACGCATCCACCACTTCCTCTGGAAGTTCATTCCACCTGTGAACCAGCCTCTGTGTAAAAAATTTGCCTCATATGTCTTTTATAAATCTCTCTCTTTTCATCTTAAAAATGTGCCCCATGTCATGAAAACCCCCATCCTAGGGAAAGGACAACCACGAATAACTCTATCTATACCTCTCATTATTTTATAGACTTCCATAAAGTTGCCTCTCAACCTCCTATGCTCCAATGAAAGAAGTCCCAGCATATCCACCCTTCATAACTCAAACTTTCCATACCCAGCAACATCCTGGTAAATCTCTACTGAACCCTCTCCAGCTTGATAATATCCTTCTTATAACTGGGTGACCAGAACTGGACACAGTATTCCAGGTGAGGCCTCATCAATGTCCGATACAACCTCAACATGACTTCCCAACTCCTATTCTCAAAGGACAAAGCAATGAAGGCAAGCGTGCAAAATGCCTTTTTAACCACTCTGTCTATATGAATGAAAGCCATTCTATTATCAAATTGCCAGCTTACAGATCATGTGCCATCTACCTGATAAGATGTGACTCCATTTACACGGACCTTTACCCCTAGGTCCCTCTGTTCTTCAACACTACCCAAAGCCATACCATGAATTATATAAGATCTACCATTGTTTGTTGTACCAAAATGCAATACCTCAATTTATCCAGATTGAACTCCATCTGCCATTTTTCAGCTCATTGAGCCATTTGATCAAGATCCCTCTGTAAGCTTAGAAAACCTTCTTCCTATCTACTATGCCACTAATTTTGGTGTTGTCCATAAACTTACTAACCATGCCTTCTACAATCTCATCCAAATCATTTATATAAATGACAAACAAAAGAGGACCCAGAACTGATCCCCGTGGAACACCGCTGGTTACAGGCCTCCAGTCTAAAAAGCAGCCCTCCACAACGACTCATTGTCTCCTGCTGTTAAGCCAATTATGCATCCAATTGAAAGCTTAGCCTGAATCCCATGTGACCAAACTTTATTAATGTGGAACCTGGTCAAAGGCTTTACTAATATCTAAATAAACAATGCCTACTGCTTGGCCATCATCAATCTTTTTGGTAACTTCCCCAAAAAACTCAATCAAGTTTGTAAGATACAATTTTCCTCACACAAAACCATGCTGACTATCCCTAACCAATTTTTGCCTCTTTAAATGTCCATAAATCCTACCATTTATAATCACCTCCGACAATTTACCCACAATGAAGTCAGACTCACAGGTTTATAGATCCCCAGTTTTTCCCTACAACCTTTTTTAAACAAAGGTACAACATTAACCACCCTCGGGTCATCAGGCACCTCACCTGTGTTATAATTGATGCAAATATTTCTGCTACGGTAACGTAATTTCCTCCCTTACTTCCCACAATATTCTGGGATACATTAGATTGAGTCCTGGAGATTTATCCACCTATATATTCTCTAAGACCGCCCGAACTTCCACGTCTGTAATGTGAACTGTTTTTAGAACATCAAAGCTTTTTTCTCTGCATTCTCTAGACTTCATTTCTTTCTCCACAGTAAAAACTGATGTGAAATGTTAATTTAATATCTCTCCCATCTCCTGGGTTTCAACACAAAGATGACCTCCTTGATCTTTAAGAGGCCCTAACCTCCATCCAGTTACCCTCTTGCTCTTAATGTATTTGTAGAATCTCTTTGGGTTATCGTTGACCTTATCTGCCAATGCTATCTCATATCCCCTCCTTGCCTTCCTGATGTCTCTCTCAATAATGCATCTACAGTCTTTATATTGATCAAGAGATTCAATTGAAACAGGTTGTCTATATCTAAAATAAGATTCTCTTTTATCCTTGACTAGAACCTCAATATCTTAATTCATCCATTGTTCCTTAATTTTACCAGCCTTACCCTTCATTCTAACAGGAATAAAATGCCTCTGATCTGTTGTCATCACACTCTTGAATGCCTCTCACTTGTCAGACGTTCTATTACCTGAAAACAGGCTACTCTAATCAACTTTTGAAAGTTCTTGTTTCATACCATTAAAATTTGCCATACTCAAATTAAAAGTTTAACCTTTATGGAAGACTTATCCTTTTCCTTAGCCATTTTGAAACTAATAGAATTATAATTGCTGGACCCAAAGTGTTCCACTACTTTTACTTTAGTCACCTGCCCTGCCTTTTTGCCCAGGGGAAGGTGTAGTTTTGCTCCTGCTGTCGTAGGTGTATCCACATATTGATAAAGAAAATTGTCTTGAACGCACCTGACAAATTCTTCACCATCCAAACCTTTAACGTTATGGTAATCTTAATCAATGTTTGGAAAATTAAAATCCCCCATTATTGCAACCTTATTATATTTTCATACATCTGACATTTCCCTACATATTTGTTTCTCAATCTCTCTGTTACTATTGGAGGTGCCTACAATACAATCCCATCAAAGTGATCTTTCCTTTCTTATTTGTAATTTCTAATACTGGACGATTTTTCAGAAATACCTTCCCTACTTACAGCAATAATGTATTCCTTAATCAAAAACGCCACCATCCACCCACTCCTTTCTTGCTTCCTTTTCTATCCTTTCTGTAGCATGTAGTACCTGGAACATTGAGCTGCCAGTCTTGTCCATCTCTCAGTCAAGTTTCTGTAATAGCCATGACATCCTAATCCCATCTTCTTAAACATGCCCTGCGTTCATCAGCCTAACTTCTAAGAACCCTTGCATTGAAATATACGCAACATAGGTCTTCAGAGTTACTACTACATACTCTGACTTTCTGATCATCAGACGCCATTTCAGCCACCTCCAGCAAGATGCCACCACCAGACACATATTCCCCTCCTCTCCCTTGTCCGCCTTCCGCAGGGACCATTCCCTCCGGGACACCCTGGTCCATACTTCCTTCACCCCCAACACCCACCCACAGCCCTATGACACCTTACCCTGTAACTGGCGAAGGTGCAACACCTGCCCATTTACCTCCTCCCTTCCCACTATCCAAGGGCCTAAACATACCTTCCAGATGAAGCAACACTTCACCTGCACTTCCAAGAATCTAATCTACTGCATTCGCTGCTTACAATGTGGTCTCCTCTACGTTGGGGAAACGAAGAGTAGACTTGGCGACCGCTTCGCAGAACATCTACGTTCTGCTTGCAAAAAAGACCCTGAACTACCTGTTACCTGCCACTTTA